CGCTCAGGTGGTCTGACTGGGCGCTCAGGTGGTCTGACTGGGCGCTCTGGGGGTCTGACTGGGCGCTCAGGGGGTCTGACTGGGCGCTCTGGGGGTCTGACTGGGCGCTCTGGGGGTCTGACTGGGCGCTCAGGTGAAGGTGTGTGCCGCCAGCCCGAAGGCCCCAGTTCGACTCCATCAGCTTCACCGCAGTAGAAAGACGGGCAGTCTTGAGGGCACCAGCTCAGCTCTAAGTCGGTTGTGACGCCACCACGTCACAAAAACAGCAGCAAGGACTAAGTATTTTTAAGTTTAAGTTATACTTAAATTTAAACAAAATGAATTAAAAAAATGATTTTTAAACACTTTTTTTTCTAGTATCCAACTTAAATGCAAAAATCACATATAACCTCAAATTTACAGCTAAAATTCCAGGACAGATGGTCAGTTAGTATCCTCCTCGTGCTGTGAACATCCTTCCCCAGCCATCCTTCTTCCATCTCACGCACAGTCCCCAGACTACCAGACTCAGACTGAGTAAGAAAACTGATGGTAGTCAGGTTAGGTCTGTGAGGACGGAGGACTGGGACGTCCCCACCTAAATATAGGGGACTGCAGCAGGCTCGTTTGCTAAGAAACAAAGTAAAATAAAATGGAACACTCACAAAACCGTACTTCCGCCTCCTATTCATACTACAAATATTCCAACTGAAGAAGAAATGCATTCTCAGGAAAGAGTGAATAGAAATGATGGAAGAATTTTAAAAATAGAATCTTAAAATATTTACAAAGAAATATCATTTTTCCTTAAAAATACTTTTATCATCACCAGTTGTATACAAAGCACATCAAGAATCATATAAATAAATTTACAAGTAGGAAGTGCTGAATCAGACAGACTTAAAGTGGGTCCACAGATGGAGGAAAACACAGTCTTCAAAACACTTACCCACGTGTGAATTCTATGGGTGCTGCTGTTGTACCACTGGCTGCGCTCTAACCCACTGCAGCCTTGTGCCCTCAGTCCACTTCCCAGGCGTGTCCATGCTGGGGCCACTGCTATGACCACCGTACCAGGCCATGTCATTAGGGCTAACCCGGTACCTTCGTAATCATGATGTCCATCTCAGGGATGGTCTCTCTGAAAAACTGTCTAAGTCTATAAAATGCAGTCCCCCAGCCTTGCTCCTAAAGGGCTTTCTGGCTGGACGTCACCCAAGCCAAGTTCTCTGGCTCTGAAAGTCCATGGTGTACTCAGATTCAGCACCACCATTCAAAGGCTTATAAATGGTGTGTAAGTCCAGAATACGTTTTATAAGAAACATAAAAACAGGTTATACACATGGATTTCACCTGATGGTATGCATAGGATTCAGGTCGATTACATCTGCGGAAAGAACTGCTGGAGAAGCTCAATATCAGCTGTGAAAACTAGGCCAGGAGCTGATTGTGGAACAGACCACCAACTACTCATATGCAA